ACTATATCCCGCCTTTTCTAAGAAATAAGAGGAAGTTTTTTTGCAAATAACTACCATTTTAAAAGACTGAAAAATTACCTTATTAACTTTAAACTCTAGAAGATATTGAACACGGCTTTTAGATATATTTGATTTCAGTATAAAGTCACGAATGTTACCTAGAAATGTCGAAATTATGTAAAGTGATCGTGATACGTCTGGTTTGTGCAAAATGAAATCAAGAACCCTGATGATCTGGTTATTGATCAATGTAGATTATCATCATATCGAACTCTCTGTACTGATATTATTCTAGATTCTTCTACACCAGAGATAACTACACTTTTATTGTTTGACTGTTGATTTGATGATTTTATCATGGAACAAGACGGACAGGAAGACACGTAAATAAAGATAAGTCATGGATCTATTCAGAGCGTGGTAAAGATAAAGGGCAATTAGACAGGGAGATGTTAAAGAGACAAGTGGGCCATTTTAAAGGGTTGATTTTAGTCTTGAATATATGTAAATAGTCTTCAGAAGTACTAGATATGTACAAAAATCACATAATTCCTTTAAAAATACTTCCAACTTGGAATTTTACTCACTATTTCTATATATGTCTTTTCTATATATCACAGAGTATCTTAAATTGACGAGTTGTCTTTTTAACATTCAATTCAGTTCTGGACACACATGGATTTGAAGGCTCATATTTTGACGGTGAGCTGTGAACACTATTACTGATTAGCTCAGCTAAAAAATTCTGGTTTCTGGGACTAAAGTATGATTGGTCGACAAAATAGTGCACCTTTCCCTTTAACATTTAAGACATGATAATCTAATAAAGAGATAATATCTGTTGTTGTAATAATCTATTATATTAATGAAATATTCTTTCACCATTTTATCTGATGACAACACGTGTAACTTGTGTTGAAATGTTATGTACCCGTGTCTAAAGAAGTGTGTTTTATTCCACTATTATTAAATAAAGGTTGATATTGTGGAAACATGGTGTCGATATAATTTACATTATCTGGATAATTTATATGTAAGACATCATTACATCCAAATTTGATATTGTTATACTATGTAAAAGGTATAAAGGTAAATATTGTTTTATGT